TAACTAGGACACTGCGGACAAGTTCTTTCATTTTAAATTTTATTGTGGATATTTTCAAATATACACAAGGACAGAATGAACCCCTCTGTATCAGGTCACCCAGCTACAATAATATTTTCCCTCTCCTGTTTCATCTGCCATGCCCCACAATGTTATATTTTCCCGGTGATTTTTAAAGTAAATCTCAGCCATCATGTTAGGTGAGTTCCTCCCTTTCCATAAATCCCCGTTTTCTCTGTCATAAAACAGGAATTGCTATACCCCTTCCATAGGTTTTGTCACTCATTGGACAAAAACATATGGGGCTGCTGCTGTGAGCCAGCCCGGTTCCCACAACATGTGGGGCCACTATGATAGTACAAAGTGTTTGTTCTCATGGAGTTTATGCTATGAAAGGCATAAATAATGAGGAAGACAATTCCAGAGGGAACAAAAGTTATGAAGAAAATAATGGGGAGATGGGGAACAGTAGGTGACTTGGGGGCCAGAGGGAGACAAGGAAGTCCTCTCCAATGAGGCTTGGGGGCTAAGACATAAAAGCATGGAGGCCCTGGGAGCCAGGACACTCAGGGTCTGCCTGGCCCTGTTTAAATCCCAGCTCCATCACTGAGTAGCTGGACACACCATGCATAAGCCATTTAACCTCTCTGATTCTCAGTTTCCTCAGCTTTATGAGGTCAAAACAACAGTACCAACCTAATAAGGTTTTCAAGATTCCATGCGTTTGGGGTTTAGAATGCTGTCTATATAAGTTACTGTTAATATTTCGCTATCTTACATATATGTGAATCTTACACACCTGCCCTGAATAGGAAAGTCCCCTGATTTTGCAAAGATGTTTGGGACTATCCGGGCCAGTGCCTCCAAAAGTCAAGTCTGCAACATCTGGGTACCTTGGTAAATACAGACAAATGAATGGAAATTCATTTGGCCCTAGACATGAGCTGTGCGGAATCTTCAGAAGCTAAACAGTGAATCTGCCTTGCACTTAGTTCTTTGTAAACCCACTTGGGAAGGGTCCTGGGGCAGGAGGGGGTGGGGTGAGGCTGGAAGGGGAGCCCGGTCTTTCTGGTGGATTCTATATCCTGAAACATCCAGTCAGCATTTCTCCTCAGTTCAGGGTGAGAGCTCTCCTGCTCGTTATGCTGCTAAATAAATTGGGGGGGGGGGCATCCATCCAATTCCAAAGAAGGGCTGCATGTTTGCGTGGAATGGGAGGGTCCTCTGTCCCACAAGTCTATGTGAGAGCATAGTCAGTACATCAAACAGGTTCAATTCCAACAGTGACCAGGTGAATAGTTTTATGTGGCTGTTTTTATAGACACTGGGAGACACTTTTTATACTATGGCAATAAAGGCTTTGTAATTGCTGCTGACTTATTTTTCGGGTTGTTTTCAGTCTTTACCACATCGTTAAACAATACTGCCAACCAAAATTCTACTATCGAGTCGGCTGGACTAAATACAACGCAGTATCCTGGAGTGGATCCTGGAACCGAAAAGGGACGTACGTGAAGAAACGCCGCGAAATTCAAACATTATCCACACAGCACAGCTAAAAATAACATACTAATGTTGATTTCTTTGTTTTGACAGGTGTACACAGCAATGTAAGATGTTCGCATTGGGTGAGGAATATACAGAACTCTGGGTGTTATCTTTGCAACCTCTCTGTAAATATGAAATTTTTCCTAATCTGAAACGGCCTTTAAAAAGTGTTCTGTTTACACAAATGAGTTGAGAGACATTGATCCAGACTCTCTCCTTGTAGCCACGGCCCTCACTCCCATCGCCCATTCTTAAGACGATAGGGAGCCTATATTTACCCCGCACTCCCGGAAAGGATGGGGGGTGTCAATGGTAGGCTGCGAGGCTGGGGTGGGGGAGACAGCAGCACGTTCATAGCTCTTGAGGACAAAATGTGCCTTCAAAAGCAAACTATAATTATACAGAAGCTGAAGAGCGTTTGCAAAAAAATCACTATCTCATCTGAATCTACATCCTGTTCATCAAAGAGGTCGAGGCCCTTTTGATTATCAGACTAAATATTTTTAGGCAATATCACTGAATGCCTGGAAAGAACATGAACGGCATCAGCTGAAGAAAAATCCGTCTTCAGATAAAAAAGGCAAGTCTTGCCTATCACAGGAAAAATCAACCCTAGGAAATTTATAAAGGAAAATTGGCAAAATTGCCCCACATGGAAGCTTTCTGCCCCCTTCCACGTGCCTCTACCTTAGTCCTTCTCTACTCCCTTCCTTCTAATTATCCACTGACTTTTCATTCTCTTAGCATTGGACCAAAGCACAATGGGAAGACCAGAAAGGGGTCTAGCATTAGTATTAGGATGAAGAAAGAGAAATAGATGGAGAAGAGGATTCTCTAAAAGCTGTCAATTGGGTCACTGAATAAAGACAAAAGTGATATTCAAGTTTGGGCTATCGAATTCTCAGTCAAATATGGTCACTTGAATGTTTAATGAAGAACGCCCCAACAATGGCACGATGGGCTTCTTTTTGGTATGTCGCAAATTTTTTGTCATTGTAAATCTTCTTCATTTCCACAGTGTCCAGAAAAGGTTTTTATATTCAATAGATGCATTCTAACTCTGGCACCAAGAACTCTCAGTTGGATTGGATTCCTTCTCTTCTAGTTCTCTGTGGGTCAAAATGGGCTGGGTCAGCTGCATGGCTTCTTGCACCCCTGATAACTGATAAACACCAGTCATCAAGGCCTATCCTCTCAGTGAACTCCCCAAATCATTCCTTCTCCTGAACATGTAAATTTTCTCTGTGTCTATAATATATAAATAGCTCCTGTGAATCAATAAAAAGACAAAATCATTCCAAGGAAGCCTATCATTACTACCAAGCACTGAATTATTCACAAAAAGTGAACTGACTGATATAAATCTGTGGAAGGGATATATGCTTCTTATTTTCCAGATGTGCCCAAGAATTCTAGGAAATAAGGACTGGATCAACCCAGCAGCAATATATGAAATTAACATCTTGCTAATGCAAGAGTGCAATGTTGGCATGCACCTGGAACTCTCTTCTGTAGTCTCCCATGAATGCTCCGGTATAGTTCTACCCAGTAGAATTTTACAAGACACATTTCTTCTAATGAGTATAAATATCAATGATGACTGAGAGACACAGACTAAAAGCAAGAATCGTAAATAAATCCAGTTAGTCTGTCACAAGAGACTTGTGAATTACTCAGTGACTAGGACACCCATCTCTGAGCAGTAATTTGTTTTCAGTACAACTTCAAACAAAAGTACCTTATTGAAACAAGATTCATTAACGTCCCTTGCCCTTTTGCCTGATGCCATGATGAAACGTGGGTGACTTCAATGAGTCTTTTATTGCAATTGAGTGCTGGTTCAAAAATCATCGTAAAGATTGAAACGTCACATGAGAAACGTGTTGACAGTCACCAGGAGCAGCCAGGAACTCAACACCATTTCAACTTTGTCTCCTCCATGACGGCATTTGCTCGCCTGCCATGGCTGGAACCAACATACATCTAGCTTCAACTGATTTCCCAGGGACACCTTTCAGAGAATGTCCTCATTTCCATCAAAGCCAGACTTGGGCTCCGCAACTGCCGTGTCACAGTTGGTGCAATTAACTGTAACTTTCAGGGCTGTGAGATTCGGTCATAAAACTTCCAACTGCTGATGCGTTTTGCTCCAAAATGTGGCTATTTCTCCTGCCATTCTACGACCCGGTTCATAAATACATAATGTCGAATTATTTAATACAACGACACCTCAGACATTCTATTCAGTGGCCCATTGGCAAACTGTGTAAACATTGACTTTTCAAATATACTGCAACATTTCCCCGAGGCCTTGAAAAATTATCACTAGGCAGAATCAGAGACTTCGCATCACCTTTATCGAATACCAGAGATTCATTCCTCTACCCATCGAGCATAAAAATTCGTAGCCAAACAGTCCAAAACGATGATTCAGCAAATAAAACCCCAATGCAACTCTGGTAGCAGAGTTTCAGCCAAAGCAACCGAGACTCTAACATGCGCGATGTGTTTAAGAATCTCCAGCCACAACTAAATGGGTCTTTTACATTGTCTGGCTTTTGTTACTTAAACCAAGCCCTCCACGTTACTTTAATGTGGGAGTTACTTGAAAACATAATTGCTAGGAATAAACACGGGAGTACACTATTGTCAAAAACTAAACAATCTTGCTCCCCCCCCCCCCGCATTGGTCAGTATATCAGTTCCATAACATCATATGTCATATATAAAGACCTTTGAAAGGAGAGAAAAATTGAGGGAGCATACAGAGACTCCCAAGAATTCCTACTGAAACATAATAGCAAATGTAGCATTTTTTCCCCCAGCAGAAAAATGGAAGGGAATTTGCTACAGTTGAATCACACGTACCCATCCCAAAACAACATAACCGCAACTGAACGCCCCCCACACAAATATGGTGCATACACACACAGGGTAGTTTGTGATGTATTTCTGCCAAACTCTCTTTTGATGAAAAGGAGATCATATTCTACTGAACTACTATCAGTTCAGTGAAAATAGTATGAAACATAAAGGTCACCTCAAGAAATAGACAAATAAGCAAATGGGCCCTATCTCACCGATATCCCCCATCAAGAGGAACCACTAAAATGGCTAACAGATTACCTATCTCGGATGAACCAACCAAGTCACCCATCGGTTAACAAGGTACCCAACCATGATGAACGAACCAAGAGAGCCATTCATTAACAGGAGAACCAACCGTAAGAAACGGTTAACCAAGGTGTTCGCTCTTTAACAGAGAAACAGACCAAGTGAAATCTGACAATACCAAATAGGGCTTCATCCTGGACAGATGAAATCAAACTTCTAGCTAGTCAGCAAACAGAAAAGCTCTTCGTGAACCCAAACACAGACCACGAAATCTAGACACACGACCCCTGCATGGGTCACCAGGCGGGGCTGGGAACGGACCGCACGACTGTACTTACGAAGATTATTTATGGGGGTTCTGGTATCCATGTTTTCATAATGCTGGACATGAACCACAATGTTGAGGTCCCTCTCCATGTGGTCAGTGTTGCAGTGGCCCTGGGGCCGCATGACATCTGCAAGGGCTCTGAAAGAAGAAAGAATTTAAATCTGTTCATTCCAAACACAATGACTGGCACCTGCTGTGCTCGGGGCACTGGACTTAGGAAGACAAGGCCTCGACTCCACAGAGCTACCATTCTAGTTAGGGGAGGGAGGGAGGAAAAGATGTGAGGAAGTAAAAAAGATCGCTGCAATTAGAGGTTACATAAGGATTTTGTGCACAACAGTCCACACGCTCCTCACAACAGCCATGAGAAAGCAGCATCGACCACCTCAAAGAGTTGCTGAGAAGATCCAAGGAAGAATCTATGTAATATGTCTGTGCCCCATAAACTTAGTCCCCCCCACCCCATGGCTCATGCTAGATCCCACACATCATGTGCAATGATGGCCCAGTATTAGCAACAAATAACATTCCTGGAGTACTTACCATAAGCTGACCCCCCATCCTAATCGCGTTACGTGCCTTAATTCAACAAAGTATCATATGAATACCTTCTGAGGTTTATTACTCCTTCTCTGCAGATGAGCAAAGAAAGGCTCAGAGAGGTGAATTAACCTGCTAAAGGTCACACAGCCAGTTGTCCAGGGCTGAACTAGAGCCAAGGCACAGCTCTGTACACTGCGTGCATTGGGTTTCCAGCAGCTAGGGAGGATTTGGTGTGACCCGGCCCCACCCCACGTTGGTGCCCCTCTCAGTCAGGAGCTGGGATGGAGGGAAAAGCAGACAACCTGAGTCACCAGCTGTGTCTTGGGCCCTTCCCAGTTATCATCCTGTTTAATCTCCTGGACGCTCATCCAAGGGCTGATATATTTTACTATTTCCCGACAAGTAAGACAACAAGGTAAGAGGTGTTAAGGGGCCGTGTAGGGTTCCCAGGGCTACTGTAACAATATACCACACACTAGGTGGCTTCGAACCACAGAAATTATGGTCTCATGCTTCTGGGGCCAGAAATCCAAAATCAAGATGTCAGTAGGGCCACGCCCCTTGGGAAACCTGTAGGGGACTCCTCGCTTTGATTCCTCCTGGCTTCTGCCAGTTGCCGGAATTCTCCATCTTCCACTGGTGTGTGTCCCACGTTCTCTTTCAAGGACACCAGTCATAATGGGTTAGCGGCCCACCCTGCTCCAGGGTACCCTCATCTTAAATCACGACATCCATGATTAGACACAATCCCATGTCTAAATCATGTCACGTTCCCAGGACCACAAATCAGGACCTTATAAAAGACTTTTTTTAAGGGGTGATGGGCGAGAGAGGGGGCTGGCACCCAATTCAACCACAATAGTGACCTTCAGAATTAGATGTAAACTTAGCCAAGCCGCTCAGTGTTCGCACATGGAACAGAACAGAGACAGCTGTCAACGGTCATCTCTCCTAAGGTCAGACCTCACCAACACATTGACTTCTCTTCACCTGCTCTCCATCATGTCTTTATTTAGATGTGATTACCCTTGAATGGTAGAGACTGCTGCAGGTATAAAATTGCACAGGTGTGAATAATGACTTGAGCATTGTTTTTGCCATAAACCTCATGTTGCTTTCTCTTTGCACAACATGGGGGCTAGCCATATTGAGAAATGTAAACTTCCTTCATGCCATGGTTTCAGGGTGGGGTGGCAGAGAATCAGCCCTGCCTATCCACTTCCCTGGTTAGGGGCACCTCGATGGTCAGCACCACCCCTGCCTCCGTACACAGTACTCATCCAGGCCTCCTCTCGGGGGTCCACCCCTACAAGCCATAGTGCCATGTTTTCCGACCCATCCCGATGCTCTTCATGTACCAGAACCCTCCAAGTCCACATCAGAGGAGACAGAGAAGCAAGGTGAGCTCTTTGAGTGAGGCCCACGCATAACCACTTCCGAACGCGACAGGCCCAGGCTGCCTGCTGAAATTTACCCCCCTAGAGCCCCGACTCTCAGATAGTGGTCCACCAACCAGGAGCAACATCCTCGCCCCGGCACATGTTAAAATGCAAATTTCCAGATCCACCCAGACCCACTGACTTGGAAACTCCAGAGGCAGGCAGGGCCCAGCCACCTGCGTTTTCTGCTGCACATTCAAGTCTGAGACTTTGTTAGGGTAGCAGAGGCCCCGAGCGTGGCGGAGTGGTTGCTCATAGGGTGATGAGATGATGGCAAGATTCCCACATGAATTAGAGGGAAAGATTGAGTCCTCCAAGAGACAAGAGAACAGCAACTGTCCCATTCATTCCTTCATTCCTTCACGGAACTGACATGTATCGCCCACTCTGTGCCAGGCACTGTTCAAGACTCTGGGCATACAGTAATATGCAAGGTGGAGAAGACCACTGCCGGCCTGGAGCTTATATTCTAGGGGACAGGATAAGGAGTATGCATGTTAAATAAATGAACGAGAACTGCGAAAATTAAAAAAAAAAAAAGTGTAACAGGATCAAGAGACACCCGTGCATAGCAGCATTATTCCCAACAGCCCAAGAGTGGAAACCAACCCAAATAAAGGAACGAACGGAGGGACAAACAAAATAGGAGATATGGGATAGAGCATGATTCAGCCATGAAAAGCAATGAAGTATTGACGCCTGGTACAACGTGAATGGAACCTGGAAACCTGATCCTCTGCAAAGAAGGCAGACCCAGAAAGCCACAGAGCAGATGATTCTATTTATATGAAATGTTCAGAAAAGGCAAATCCATAGAGATAGAAAGTAGATGAGTGGTGGTGGCAGGGTCTGCAGAGAGGGAGGAATGGGGCTGCTGCATTCATGTATACAGACTTTTGATAAGGAATAGGTTCTGGGATCCCAGAGTGGTGTTGGTTGTTCAACTTTGTGACTATGCCAAAAAAAAAAAAAAAAAATCACTGAATTGTACACTTTTTAAAAATTCTAAATAAAGAGAGAAGGAGAGATAAGGTGGTCAGGAAAAAGCTTTCCTGAGGAGGAGACATTTGAGTTGAGTCTTGAGTGGTGAGGAATTGGTCCCATAAAGATGGAAAGAACCTTCCTGGCAGGGGGAACAGCAAGTGCAAAGGCCCTGAGGCAGGAAAGAGATCGAATATTTGAGGTACCAGAAAGAAAGCCAATGAAGCTGGAAGATGCCCAATAAAGAAGGGGCAAAAGGAGGGGCATTCAAGGTGAGGCTTCTCCTACCCATTCTGTGGAGCAAAACACTGCTCAAGTCAACCCAGCTCATCAGTGCAAGGACCAAGATACAAATCTGAGTGTCCCTGACACTGGAGTTCGGCCTCCTTCCCTGCTCTGTGCTGTAAGCAGCATCTAAAACTCAACAGGGCTACAGGAAAGGAATGTCTGAGACAAAGGGTACATTCCCTCTAACCCTAATTTGCCTTTTTCCCTTCTAAACAGGTTCTTTATCATGAGCTTCAAGGGATCTCGGAGCCCCTCTGGAATTGAATGAAAATTTTGTGCATTTCTCTTGAAAGGAAGCCATAGCTTTCCCCCAGATTCTCTAAGGAGTTTCCCCACGCAAGAATTCCAAAATATTCAGGCTTTCAAGAAGTTAGCAAAGTAAGTCATTGGGACAAACGACCACAAACTTGGTTGGCACTGCTTTCTACAGATCCCTTGGGCTTCTCCTGAGTCTGGAAATTCTTGCAAATCCAGCCCAGAAGCCAAGGTTGCTTTTCTCCTAAGGCAGCCCCTCGCAGAGTGTGCAATGGAAATGAGGGTTCCTAAAAGGCCTCCATATCCTGGAAAAGCAGTCTGCAAGGTACGGTCTGCTCATTTCAGGGACCACATAAAATGATTCAGCATCAGGAAAGGAAATCCGAGAACTTCTGTGTGTGGTCTTTAGGGGTTCAAGTAAGAAATCAATGTCATGTGTGTATGGATGCTGGAGCCCTCCCTTGAATTGCCCACATCAGACAGTGAGAATCGGGAACCTCAGGCCCAGGAGGGCGACTGGCAGTGGCACCATCATTAAGGTTCATCTGCTACATCCAGCTCTGAGCACCGCGAAAGGGACTATGCAGCTAAATTACCTATCTACTTGCAAGTAGGCTAACCATCATCAAGCAGGCATGTGGCTTAAAAATGTCCCCCCAAAATCCACAGCCTGAAGATCACATTAACAGAGCAAACCCAAGAATACAACAGAGTTGACTCTCCCCCGCCCCGCGCCACCACAGCTAGCTCGTCGCAAGGTTAAACATGATGACTGTCTATTCAGATCAAAGCAAAGCCAGCCCAGAACAATCCAAACTCTCATGAGAAGGATTCAAAATATGAATTGTTTACTAATGGTCAACCTCTGAGAAACCAACTGATGATTGCACGACATCATCACACTTTGCAACCAATTTTGAGCTCCATTTGATCATCATTCTTCAGCTCCATTTGAAATTTCTGTTTTCATATATGCTTAAAATGCACCTAATAGCTGTTGGCAGGTAGGAGCACAAAACTTACTAGTAAAACAAATGGGCATGTATTAGGGGACATACTTAAACACACATTATAACTCACGTCCAAAAAAATGAATAAATAAGACAAGGGAAAGAACCAACTATGTGCTGTAAGCCAAATAAATTCCCCAGGATTTGTCATCTATCTGTGGCATATAGTTTGGGTGCTTCTCAAGCAAAGTGCATTCATGTTACCTAGGGGTCTTATTATAAAATGTAGACTGGGGGCAGAGCTGGGGGGGGAGCACCTAGGTGGCTCTGTCCGTTAAGCGTCTGCCTTCAGCTTGGGTCATGATCCCGGGGTCTTGCAAGTCTGAGGCAGGGCTTGAGACCTTTCTGCTCAAGCACCCAGGTAATGAAAATGCTGCTGTTTCACAGGTCACACTCTGAGTAGCAAGATCCTAAAAGTACTATGACGGTCAACTTTAAGTGTCACCTTGACGGAGCCACAAGATGCCCAAATATTTGGTCGAAAATCATTCTGGGTGTGTCTAAGAATGTGCTTTTGGATTAGATTTACATTTACATCAGGAGACTGAGTAAAGCAGATCATCCACCAGCATGTGGGTGGGCCTTGTCTAATCAGTTGAAGGCATGGATAAGACAGAAGGCT